TTGAAAAAAGGTCAAATAAAAATGAAAACGAGTTTCTTACACAATTTAATAGACATGTATGTTCCGCATAGATCTTTGTGCGCAGATCAACAAGCGCCACGCTTTGCATACTTACATTTTCGACCCCAGAATGTGTTGGGTTACTTATTTGCTAGTACTACCGCTTCTATCAATATAATGAATCCTGACGCATTTCAAGCAGGTTCTCTCAACCGCTATCACCCTACTTCCAGTGTTTTGGGTAAACAAAAGCAGTAAACCCCATATCGATTTGCGCTGAGAAAAATACGGCAAATTTGATTGCAAACCTGTGGATGGTGTAAGCAACCACTTTGATTTTGCATAAAAGCTTTTGGCCCATAGGAAATTGAAAGTAAAGAGGAGAAAAGATTGAAAGGAAATAGTTTAAGTTGACAGATTGCTTGCCCATCCTATTGCTCCCAAGTTTTTGCGAGGTGATGTTAAGCAGATCGATCCAGTACGAGTGATGAAAACCTAAACTGCGATCTGATCTGAATCGGAGAAGTGGCTCATGGAAACAGGGCGTGGTCGCCACTTATTGGAACTGGAACTGCTTCATTTCATTGAAAAAACATTCTCTTGACTAATGTAAGATTAGTTTCCTAAAAATCATATCAAATCACTTAAAATTCATTAGGCTCCTAATAAAACGAATGCAGATTTGTTCACGTAAACATGCGCTGGTAATCTGTTAATATTAACAATGGCAGAAGCTCTATGAGAGACCATGGCTCGCAGTTGTTGTTCTGGAGGCAAGCCAGGTAAGCGCTGGAGGATTTGATAGAATGAAAGCGCAGCAACGAGCAGTTGACGGACTACAAACTGAGATAACACTTTTACACTATTCTGTTCCCCACATTTTTTGATTGCTCGGTCGAATCGCTTCGTTGCCTTCTAAATTTACCATGCTAGCGAGACAAGATTTGTTGGTGCACAAATAACGAAGTCGAGGTCTAGATCAGCTAAAAAAAGTTTCTTTTGTAGTGTTGCATTGGCCTGTGAATTATGAAAAATTATTTATTCAATTACTGTTTGTTCGGTGAGAGGAATTAAGTATTTGAAAAACCTTCTGGGATATGCAGATTAGGAACACCATCTTTCAACTCAACATAGAATTTTTCCTTCTTGTTGTAATAATAAGACTTCTCTCCTTCTGTGCGAGCAAGTGTCCAGACTTCAGGATCCGACAGTTTTCCGAAGAAGCAGTAAAGCAAGCCTACATACTTTTCTTCATCCTTGAAATCGATACAGGAACATCCCCACCTTCCATCGTTCTGAAAGTTTTTTTGAACACGGTATATGGCACATTAAATGGTGAATTCTATCAGTAACAAATGTAGATTAGCGTGTATTCTTAGAATTTTCTAGAGCGGTTTTTTGAAGTTTTCGACAGGAAGTAGAGGTGTTTCGCATATAATGAAGGGCTTTGCCGCGATACAAAGGTAATAATAAATAAAGGAAATAGCGTATAATCATCGTCTTCTGATATTTGAGTTTGGCTGCATTGCTCTACTTCAGACTCTTATGACCAGAGTCAGATTCAGGAATGTTGCTGACTTGAGAGGTCGCACTACAGGTGGATTTCGGAGGTGGGGGGGGGGGGGAGGGAGGGAGGGGGGGATGGGAGTGATAGAGCGAAGATCAGAACAAGGGGTGATATTGACTCCTGCACCTGTCCAGAAATTTTTGCTTATTTGATAAAACATTTCATCCATACCGATGCCTAGAAAGCGTCGATTGCACGCATGATTGCTTTTGTTTTAAAGATTGAGGATGCATCATTTGAGCAAATTTCGATCTGAATCGAAACAAGAATTGTAAAAAGATTAAGACCGTAATATTTCATCCCTATTGCCTTTGAAATAACCGTCAATTCAGGATTCTGAGATTTTGATGCTGTGTAATAGCGGAGCCCCTAGCTAAGTAATCGCGCAACTCCTACTGCAAAAATTGAATCCCGAAACAACAATTGCTTCAGAAGGTGAAAGCGGCTTAAGTAGCTTTGATCATCAAAGTGAGTGGCGTGAAGACCATGAGCTCGAAAGGGGCTTCAGGTTGGATAAAAATGATGAAATACCTGACGGTCACAATGGAAGGCAGATTTATGACAACTCTAGATTCATTAGAGCCCGATTTTGGGCTCTTATTCTTAGACCACCCACTTGAACGAAAGCCGGGTGGTTTTTACGTTCCTAGCGTTTTCCCGCTTCAAAATTCATTTTTTTTTTCAAGACTTCGGCGATTATCTGTTGAAGACAGTGGACAGGCGTTATGAACCCCTGTCAGATTTTGGTAGTTTCGGGTAGTAGACCCCCCAAGTACGTCATAGCCCCAAGCCCACCTTGCAATTCATGCGCTAAATCTTGAAAAAGCGCTTCGAAATTCCACCAATAACGCCCACTCAATGGAAGTGGGCTTGGGGCTATGATGTACTTGGGGGGGGGGTCTACTACCCAAAACTACCAAAATCTGACAGGGGTCCATTCTGCCTGTCCACTGCCTTTAAGGGACTCGCTATCATACAATCTCGAACTAACCACGGATATCTACTCTCAGTTTTGATGCAGATGACGTTCACGCTCACTCATTCTAGGCAACGAGCTTAATCGTAAGAGGATTGCAATAACAATTCATCCAACCATTGTTCAGGATTTAACACATCCACGACAATACGACCCACCGGTGGGTCGTAAGATGCCTGAACCTCTAGCTTTGCCAGTTTACGATGAAATTTTACAGAATTCTGGCATATGATTGGGGCACCTTGGCGAAGCTCTAGCCAGAGTAGTCCGGGTTCCGGATACTGTAATATAATGCTACGATAGGTATAACGTTGATAGATAATGCACAGACTTCAGTCTCAAATTTTTCGCAGAGCGTGCTGTTTTTGAGAATTTAAGTTTACACACGGAAACGGGGAGTTCACAAACTTATGTCAGCCCATCAAAAGATTATTTATTCTACTGATATTATTAATTTTTTGCATTGTTCATCCCAGGAAGCGCATTCGTTACATGTATAGGTTCTGTAGCATGCTGATTATGAAAATGATAGTCTCATGCCCTAATACCGCCTTTCTACATCAGTTTCTTGATTTTTACTAAAATTCTGCCGTACTACTATTTTCTCCCATTGTGGGAAAGTATTGAACAAAGTGGACACTATAATCGTGATCAGCACGTGAAATAATCCAAAACACAATCAACACAATTTTCCATGATCATGATGTTTAGTTAGCACAGAATGACTCCGCAACCTTACCGTATAATGCCAAAAACTGAAGTAAATCAGATTTTGATGATCAGCGCCTTATTACTCTGGGAAACTCTCGGAGACATGTTTTGGATTTTTTTCCAAAAAGACTGCCATTTTGGGCAATACGACCCACGGGTGGGTCGTAAGTTTGACAAAACGGAAATGGCTGTGGTCCGAAACGTCAGCAATCAAAAAGTCGGCCTTGTCGTGAATGTGGTAAACTCTGTGTTGGAAGCTAAAAGCGTTACAAAAAGGAGGGGACTGTAAGTTTCAGCATAGATTCAGATACTTGAAAAAAATTGGCAATGTTGCGCGAGCATGAATCTACTCCTCTCCCAGTAGCAAGTTGGTCTTCCGCAGTAACTGTCGGACCAAACCTAAAAAAGTGTAAGTTGATTTTCATGTGCAGGGAGAATGCATCGCCAGCATAGCCACCGCGATTCAAAATCAGTGCTCATTTTCCAATTTATTTTCTTGAGTTTGGTTGACGAAGCGGGCGATTGGCCGCATGAAAAACAATTGCGTTGAGTATTCTTCACTGTATAGTGTCTGTAGACTAATGAAAGACGAAGAGGGAATAAACTCCCACACTGTATGTATAGGTGAAAGTTAACTAAGAAGAAATTGGTTGGAGATTCTCTGTGGGTTAAGGACAAAAATAATTATCTACTGAGACTCCCTTATCAAATTAGAAGTGGAAAATAACCGCACCTCTTTAAGTTGATCTTTATATCTCTCAACTGCATTGTTGCCAAAATCAATGCTCGATTCATGAGCACTGGAAGACATAAAAATAGGTAGAAGTAGGTGAACACTAGAAACAGATCTTACTAATAAAGTACAGATGTACAGTTTGTTTTTGTCTCATTCGTTTGGACGCATTTCAAGGCAAGTTCTACCAGTTTGGGATCCTCAATCTAAATGATTGTGTTTTTAAGTGAAAACTATGATGTCATACTGGTGAAAACTAGGATATCGTACTACCTATTAAATATTCGGTTCTTAATAGCAAAATTCTCTGTAGATGAACAAGGAAAAATAACAAAACTAGTATAACTCACTGTAGGAAACTTTCTCTGCAGTATCGCAAGCGCATTCCAAAACGCCATCCTAAGCGTATTTCTTCCTTTATTAGTCAGTGTATTATTTTGTAGGCAGTATTTTTTTGAACTATCCTCCGGGTTTGGCACAGGTAATTTTGAGCTTTCTTCCGAGTTCGACATAGGTGAAGATTCAGAGCCTGAGCTTCCGTCCGAGGTCGACACATGTGAAGAATCTGAGCCTGAGCTTTTGTCCGAGATCGACACTAGTGAAGATCCAAACACAAGCAAAATTTCAGAGCCTTCATCCGAGTTCAACACACAAAGCTGAAGTACCTGAGTTACCAAAAAAGAATCTTTTATTCTTGAGGATTCATTACCACAAGAACCATGAGCCATTGCCGTAGCATTGCAAATAATGCAGCTGGAGTGTTGTACATTTTTATACTTGAATGAGATGTCGCAAATACTGCGTGAGCAAAGCCAAAGCCACGACTGACATTGATTTTCAGTAAGGGCTAAATTTACTGCTTGCCCTTACATGCTTCAGGAAACATGCACTTGACCAATATACATTCAGCCCCAGTTCCAGTGATATCTAAGCCAAGAGCAGAGCTCAAGAAGAATTGCAAAAGATTTGCAATTAATGTTCGTAATTTGCTTTGAACACACTCGCATTTCCCAATGTCACTGCACAACGAGTTTTCAAAGAATATAATTGGCGTACACAAAATACTCAAAGTAAGTTCTCATTAAGTACACGAGCCTCGTACCAAAATTTAGAAGCAAGCTGCGCGCTTTACACATGCGGTAAAGCATTTGAAACGCCGATTTAGAAGTCCAAGTAAATTTGATTATTGCAAATCCGGCAAATTTTAAAGTTAAATTTAAATTGTTGCATCGGAGCACATTAAATATGGTTTGCTGGGGAAGACAGTCTATAAGCCAGTGCAAAAAGGTACAAATCTGTAAAATCGGTAACGGCCGAAAAAATAATTTTCTTTACGTCAAAAAACATCAACAGTCTTGTTTTTCGCAGAAAAAAATCGCTGAAAATTTGCTAGGAGTAGCAAAGTCGACTGCACGAAATCGCCATCGGCTGAACGTGCGCGAGCGTGACGCGTGCGGCCGCAGATTGCATGAATGATCATCAAGCGCCAATGCTAAACGTAGCTCCGCAAGCCACTGGTTAAGCCGCACGACGAACACGCTTGCAAGCTTCGGCTTACAGCGATATGGAAAACTTTGTGCGGTCGACTAAACATCTTGAAAAAAAAAAGAGATTTTGGAAAAGAAAAGAAATTTTGCTTTTTTTGAGGGTTGTGTGCGAAGCTCGATATACGAAATAAAAACGTTGGATTAGTGATCGGAGGTGATACTAAGGTTCAACTTAGAACTACTGCGCAAATTAGTCCTTCAAACATATTAAGGGCTGAAAATTGCCGCTGAAATTCTGAGCCTTTCGAACCCTGCCCACTTTTATGCAACTCCCACACTCTCGAAAAAAAATTACTCGGCCTTTGACGCGTTTCCACATGGCAAGCATCAGTGTTAAACTTATTGACGCTTGCTTCGGACAAAGATAGCGCCAGCTGGACTCGTCCGCTGTTTCAAAATAGATACTTGGGGTGTTTACTAGGTGGTTTACTTTGGGTGGCATATTGAAATCAGCGTTATGAAAAGTATTGGATAGGTCAAGAAATGAATTTCTTTATAGAGTTTCCGATGTTGTTTCTTGCTAATCTTTACTGTTTATATATCAAGTTTGTGTCATATCGTTATCTGTGCGGTATAAATATCCAACACTTTGCGCAAAGAGAATTGGTTTTTAAAAGGGGTGGCTTAAGATTCACTGCTTCCGGCTTGGACTTTTCGTACCCTCAAGACGACGCTTGTGCGGATTTTGTATTTTTGTACAAAGTGAGATTTTGAGAATGGCGACTAGATATCTAGCTGGAAGAGGCATCACATGTTGAATATATTGAGTTGTAAAACAAATTTTGCCAATTTTTCTCCTGATTACCAAAATTGAATGCGGATGAAAGGGACTGGTTAAGGTTGGATTCCCAATGTGCGATGACCCTAGCTATAAGATACGCCATTCGTCTTAGAAAATATTTCTCAACTAGGAAAGGGTACTCCAAGGCACATTTCTCAGATTATAGATGCGCAAAACCTATAGAAGCTTTGCAAAATCGTTCTACTCATTTCGAATTAGTCAGCGACGAATATCCAACTAATTACTTACTCCAGTAACTGTGGCTTTTTTAAAGCGATATATAATTGGTTGATCTAGCGTTGAGAAATGGAACTATTCACCTGTTTTCAGGAGCAGCCAGCGCGTTTAGAGAACAGCCTTCTTGATATGTTTGATTGTAGTCCAAGGTCGTTGTTGATTGACAGCTACCTATGATGAAGATAAAGACTTGACCTCTACTGACAGAACTTTCGGTATTTTCCGTTCTCCGGACCCATTTTTTCAAACAGAGATATTGCTACTATCTTTGTGCCATTTTTGTCTCAGCTTCACAAGAAGGAGTTACAACCAGGGTAAAGCGGGGGGTGCGGCACGCCGCAGTGGGGGGTCGTAAGGGGGGGGAGGGTAGGTAGGGGGGGGGTCGTATCGACCCAAGGTCAAAAGCGGTTTCTAAGGGGAGATGACTGCAGCTAAGTTCTTAGATGTGCCACGGTGTTGAAATCCTGCAAAATTCAAGTTCAACGGCACAAACTTGCAGATACCGTATGCCTACCGTAACCTACCGTACCTCTAATCAAGCATAATTGTCGTAATCCGCGTGTCGAATAACCCCTATGCGCCAAGTTTCAGCGAACTCTGAGGTCTCCGAGCAGTAAACAACCTTGTATAAAGCAGTAATTTAAAACATGATTAACTTCATCTTAACGGTGAGTAAGCTACCTCTTCTTGCACTCAATACAAAGCACTACTCCTTCTTTGTCCACCTCAGGAATCCCGCTTCAGAAGACCTCCAAACTATTGAATTAGAAGCCAACCAAAATCGCTTTTAGCTTTTGATCGCTGTGCTTTCACCAAATATTACTCAGAGCTAAGAAGACGAATCAGGCTCAAAACATCCCTATGGAATCTATGAGGTTTAGGCTATTGATTCATATAAATATTGTCCGCTAAAAATGTTTTTTTGATATAGTTAATGGCCTGCGGCACCCCCCTCAAAACCTGCGGCTGCCGCAGGTTTTGAGGGGGGGGGGTGCCGCAAGCCATTAACTTACCTTCAAATCGTTCAAACAGCTGCCTTTTTCATATCATCCTATAGATTCATCCTTCCTCTCTCCGTAGTAGCTGTTTCCCCTCGAACCTTTTTCTTTAGAAGGAAATACATATGGTTTTTGCGAACCATATGCTGGGAAGTGTGGCCAAAAAATATTGGGTTACGGTAGCGCTCGAAAGATTGTCAAAACACACAGAGGCGCGAGATACGCGCCTTTGAATCCCACTCTCGTTATGAGATGTGATGTTCTCGCCTTTTTGTTCTTTTCATCAATTGTTTCTCTCATTGTTCTTTCAGAAAACTTCAGCCCTATTTGTTATGCAGTGTTACAGGTGTTGTTCCATTACTAACAACAAAACAAGTGTGTTGGAAAGGATTTTTTGAAGAGTTGTTTGGTACATAAAAGGAAATACAAACAGCAATCGTCTTTCCGAGAAGAACGAAGGTTTGCGAAGGTTTTTTTTCAATGCTTGCATATGATCAATTTTTTTTCTCTTACTAATATCAACTTTCAACGATTGTTATCAATTTTTACGTTGCCTCAGCCCGAGCCTCAGCTTTCAGTCGGAGTGTGATCCCGCGAGTCGCTGCTAAACTTGAAGAAATTGCTTATAAGGTGATGCTGTTTGAAAGAGCAACTTTTCTCGTGATCGCTCATGCAGAGGTGACTAAACATCGTGATATGCATCGATTCGAGAAAGTTTCAAATATAATCAAGCAGTTCAAACTGAGTTGTAGGTGTGTATTTTTCCTTGTCTTTTCTGTTTTGTTACTCTTTCTTTTCTTTTTTTTTCATGCGTTTTGATTCGCACCCACCTTTTTTCTAGTAAGATGGGCTCGCAGTTTGAATACATGCATGTGAGGAATAGCCACTTTGCCGCTTTCATTGACGCCTTCACGCCGAATACGTTTATCATGGTTGTACTTGCTGATGGAAACGTCTCTCCAGCCGCTACGCTAATTAATATTCGATCAGCGAAGAAGCATTTTGAAGCCTTAGAATCCAGATAAAAATGTAAGTTCTGCTGTGCAGTTATACTGAAACCTCAAGAGTTCAGGTGGGGCGCCCAACTTTCCATGTAGTTCCACTTTTTCGGACTTACTGATTACACTAAGTTTTTGATTTTCACTGTAAGACGAAAACATCACTCATTTCATTCGAATTTGCTCTTCAGTTTCCAAAATTTTATCCGCTTGCATGCACATTGATCGCTTGTAATGACAAGCTCAGATATTTTTATAATGTAGACTCCCGCTATTGACTGGAGGTTTTGCAAAGGCGTCATACTACTGCTCGCATTTTTTTTAATATCCGTAAGGCGATGCATGAATTTTTTTGTCAAGTGTGTTCCTTAAAGGCAGTGTCCAGGCAAATCTGGACCCTTTGGTTTTTTGCGTGGAAACTGATGGGGAGCCACTGACTAAACCACTGCCCGAGTTGCAGCGCACGGGATTCACTCATGCCAGAGAAATCGGCGTCCGAATCGGTCGTCCCCGCGCCGTGACCGTAACACTTCAACAGTCTAAACGCACATCACGGTCCCGGTGCGAAACCATGAGGACAGGGTGTAGCGCGGAAACTCGTTGGGAGGGTACGAAATAGCACGGAAAATGAAGATATCTCAAATGTAATCAACGAAAACACCATGAACAACGCGGAAAAGCTGCCTTTTCCGCGTTGTTCATGGTGTTTTCGTTGATTACATTTGAGATATCTTCATTTTCCGTGCTATTTCGTACCCTCCCAACGAGTTTCCGCGCTACACCCTGTCCTCATGGTTTCGCACCGGGACCGTGATGTGCGTTTAGACTGTTGAAGTGTTACGGTCACGGCGCGGGGACGACCGATTCGGACGCCGATTTCTCTGCCGTGAGTGAGTCCTGTGCGCTGCAATTCGGGCAGTGGTTTAGTCAGTGGTCCCCCATCAGTTTTCATGCAAAAAACCAAAGGGTCCAGATTTGCCTGGACACTGCCTTTAACAGTCCAAAAGATCAGCTTGTTGTTTTCAGATTTGCGAGTTTGTGATGCGTGATTCCATAGTTGTGCGGGTGTTTTGACTTACTGAAGAAGAAATTGCTAGTGATCAAGCGAGGTATCTTGGATGGGATGACTATCTTCTATCTGTGAGCTTTCACAATGAAGTTTTACATATTATACTGCTATATCTCAGAGGTCTTGATGAATCTTGGTCTCAGATCTCTTCCTTGTTGAAACATAAAACAAACTGCAACTTCCTGTCAATAAGGGGGAACTTCAGTTGATTTTTTGGAAATGCTAACACTTGTAAAGCGTAAGAACTTTTCTGCATTTTTGACTGATCAGTTTCATAGTTTTCACGATTTCGTGTCTCATGTCCGTATCGGCTTTGCAGACTGTTTGACAAGTCCTCTTATTTGATGAGGAGAACTGAATTTTGAAAGCGAAGTAGCTCATTTTGAGGTGTTTCAGATTTGTTCACAACATTTCGAGTTTTATTGTAAGTCATCCTACCATTGCCTAATTCCGTCTTTTGCTGTGCCTTCTATCATATTTTCTTTTGCTGAGCCGCACATACTTTCCAGAATTTTTCTGCTTCTTTCACCATGACATGTATATCTATTCATAGTGCCTGTGTTCCGTATTTTGCCGCTTAAAAGAGTTCTATGTTCTGCCTGCATATATTGATAAAGTTTTATATTATATACGAATAAAATATATTGATCTACAGTTCGTTTTTTGTCTGTGGCACGGTCTCACTCCGTTTTATTTGATTCTACCTTATAAAATTTTCCGTGAAAAGTCTGAGAAAAACCCGAGATCGCATGAAGCTAGCGACACACAGCACTATTTACGGTCTTACATTTCAATAGGCTTATGGAGTGGAGGGAGGGGGGGGGGTAGGGAATGGCGGGGGGGTCGTGCCGAGGTCCGGCCCAAGGGGGGGGTCGTATCCAGCGGTCGCGTGCCGCACCCCTCGCTTTACCCTGGTTACAACTTCTGCCACGTGTCAAAAAAAAATTTGACATGTCCTACATGCTTGAGTTCTACCAAGAGTTTTATTACCCCACCTAGCGGCGTAACTGATAATTTTGACCTCATTTCGATCAAACAGTTTCAGAATGAACAATGTCATAATAATTAACGACATGCTATTATCGATGTACAGTTTAGACTGAGAAGTGCTCAAGATAGAGAAGTGCCCTAGGATTCCGGCATGAGAGAGGCGAAATAAGCAGCAGCAAGTTACTTCAAACTATCATTTATAGTCTTTTCGGCTAAATTCGCGTGGCGAAAAGGGTTTGAAGAGAAATACATTTTGAATCACTGCTAAAAGCAAGCAAGATATTCTAGAATGTTCATGATTGTTTTCTGCTATGTAAAACAGTTAAACGGCTTTAAGGTAATCACAAAATCTCTTTTATTTCATCGAATAATTTCGAAGAAAACATCTAAAAATCAAGCGAAACATGTCAATTTTATCGTGACAAGGACAACTCGTGACAAGGAGGCAGTCATCGTAGAACCTACGAAAAATTATTCTAAGACCAAAGAACGTGTTATATGAGAGCATTTCGAAAAAATGGGTCCGGATAACGAAAAGTACCGAGCTTAGTTTCCAACCTGATATATCTCCATTTCGCAAAAGCACCTCCATCTTATCCAAATTTTGTTGCACTCATATAGTCGATCGTCTTTTATCTCTGGAGTGAAGTTGGTATAGGCTAGCAAGCTTCTTTTATTGCTGCGCACAGTTGGCAGTTGACAAATTTACGCTGAACGTGATACACCAGATCTAGTGCGAAATGCTATTTTTAGATGCGTCTTGTTAAGCTTCTAGATAGACTTCCGTTTCGCTGCGCGGTCTCTAGAAGAGATCATGGGCGTTTGAAGGGGCCCGCAATTGGCAACAATCAAGTGCCAAAATATCAAGAAGTGTTTGTTTGAAATCATTTATCTTTATCATTCTTTTTATCAGTACAATCAAGACCATGCTAATTAGGCACTCTCCTGCTTCAAACATATTATACTCAGAACTTGAATAAGTTCACACTTTTTACCGCTCATAGCTTTTTCTAAAAAGCCGCGCAACAGAGTTCCTTATTAGGTATTTGAATGTATTTTCAGACTTCTAAGCAGCTCACTAAGTCCACTAGCAGTACTTTGCTTGTCTTCCTTGCACAACCAATACGCTCTATGTATTATCATTTGCAAGGCACTTTCAGAAGTAGACATGAATGACGCAATGAAGAACTTTCACGAAATATTTCTGTCTATTTTCTCATAAAACAGTCACATATAGGCATTTTTATATCTATTTTAGGTACGATTGTGAACTGATTAAGTGAATGCAGAAACACAGCAACCCTCTGGCAAGAAGTGAATGCGTGATTGTTGACGTAGTGAGGTCAAGTGTCAGGTGTTAATGAATCCTAGTCAATTCATGTCTATTAGCATTGACATCTCGCTTGGATGAATAAATGGAAGTGACACTTGCATTCAAAGAAATGTTCAAGTGTTCAAATTTAATACTTGCTGCTGCCAATTCGATTTGTATTTGCAGCTCCTCATTATTGAACCTGTGCACGGCGTAAGGGCAACTTTCCATTTGGATTGACGAGCGCAATCCACAACAAATTTAGTTCCAGAAATATGTAGAATTCTTCTTACTCTGCATATTGCGCAATAAGCGCGAGTGAGTGAATAGATCTTTTATGTTATAAGATTGGCAAATACGCCATCTAACTTCTAGTAGTCAATTGTGCAAGCAAGAGCTTGCTTATAATTACAAGAAAGCTTTTTATTAGAATTTTTTTCAGAAACACTCTCATAAGCTACGTTAATGATTGTAGATAAAGTTGTGAGAAATGCTGAAGAAGTTTTGTTACCAAATAGTACTACACTACTAGCGACCTTTGGGCTTGCTATAGGCGGGTGCGAACAAATACATTAACAGGCGTTTAGTTGAGATTATGAGTCCACTTCGAAGATAGACAGAGATAACGTTTGGGTTTTTGCTATACCCCTCTATATTGCTTACAAGGGAAGGATACTTGATCGAAGTGGCGTTTCCATATAAAATGTAACTAGAGCATGTAATGCTGATTCCAAATCTGCTTTCCTTATCTGCAAAGCGCTTCTGGGAGGAGAGTGATGAAAATCTTATATATAAAGCTGAATGTCTGTCTGTATGTATGTCTGTATGTCTGTCTGTACGTATGTGCGGAATAGAAATTTTTATTTCTGAACCGATCGGGACCAAACTTGGCACACATATACTTCGGGGCAGGGAGCGTGTCATAGGCTACTTTTCGTTATCGATCGATATCGATTTTATCGATTTTTTGCAAAATTTGAGCTAGGGGGCTGGGATTTTGCACAGGGGGGTAATCAACCCCTCCGGGGTGATCAGCATGCTCGATTACCCCCCTATGCAAAATCCCAGCCCCCTAGCTCAAATTTTGCAAAAAATCGATAAAATCGATATCGTTCGATAACGAAAAGTGGAATATGACACGCTCCCTGCCCCGAAGTGTATGTGTGCAAAGTTTGGTCCCGGGCGGAGCCGGGTTTGCCATCTAGTCTTCGATAAAAAATCTCGAAAGCGCAGCTACAATAAAAGCATTCAGAAGTTGATTCGTGGGTTTACATGAGACCATGATTACTACCAGGGCCTTTTAAGCAATATAACCTTCAATCTAACAAACTTATGTCGGTCAATACTCCTTTCAAGCGCCGAAAAGATCTCAACGGCTGTTTTTACCTTAGTCAAATTGTTGAATTTTTACCTCAAAAAATTTCCAGAACTCTCAAGCCAAAAGAGCTTTGCAAATAAGGAAAGCAGATTTATAACCAGCGTTTTATGCTCTATAAGACAGTATACATTTCATATGGAAATGCCAATTTAAACAAGTATTCTTTCCTTTTTAGTAACGAGCAGTGTGCCTCTTCAAACTGACATTTTCAAAAGTTTATGGAGCTTGTTTGAAGAACAGAAGAACTTTTCAATCGCTTAACTTTGGACGAACTAACGGCTTGCAATACCAGCCAGACATACCTTACCAAATATGATAAAAATTCGAGCATTCGAATAAAAATTCTAATATATTCGCATTCAAAAGCCAATTTTTCGATGTTTTTCCATTTTCGAATAAAATTCGAAAACTCGAATAATTAGAAAACGTGGTTTCGAATAGATTTTATTTAAATGTTTTATTCGAATGTTATCTTCGAACGTTTTATCGAATCCGTATTCGAATGACAACCGCACTCGAATTATTCGAGTTTGTTTTAATGCCAACTGCTGGGTATCAAACTCGCTTCGTCTGCTGTTTTTCATTGTGCAAAACTCGATGATGCATCATTTCGCAGCCATGATCAGTTTTGAAGTGTATGGATACTCCCATTCCTCCAACTTGCAGCAATAAAAAGATAAATGTCAATTCTGATTGATAGCTTCTGCGATCAATGAGATATTTTGCACTGCTAATAGTACCAAATCGGCAAAAAACAGCTATAAAGTCATGGCCCAAGTTTGTATATTGGAAGTGTTGACATGCCTTTTACTTTGGTTTGCTCATGCTCTTGATCCACAAAGGTCCAGACTAATAAGCACTCTCACTTGTAAAATTTATGTTGCACGGCTGCCTCTACTCGTTATCTTGGAGAATTTTCGCAAATGACGGTGAAGTTTGAGTGAAGGACATTGCTTCTGTAGTAGAGAATTAGACTCTGTTAGTTACGATTTATACCACCTTGCAATAAAGTTTCGTCCAGTAGATAGTACATAATAGTTTTGTTATCATTGTGCACTCAAGAATTTTTTAGAGGCTTGCAGGCAATTTAACACGAGTGCTATCATCCTGTCAACTATGTTATAGGTTGACCCGGACAAAGACGGTCCACATCGAAAAAACGAGCTTTTATTATTATAATCACCACACATACTTCATGCGATAGTCGGACGCGATTTGCCAGTTATCAGATATCTTCAAATGTAGCCAGCTTACCGCAAATGTATAGCGTACAACTTCCTAGGAAGATGAGTGTCCTGCTTTCTGTACTTTTAGCAGGACACTACTTTTAGTACTACTACTCCGCCTACGATAAGTTATGAACAATTTGACTTTTGTCAAACCACGTAGCTGGAGGCATTCGTGCTCGCTTCGCGGAATGTATTGCAGGCTTTGTCTATAACTAGCTTGTACTAGGCAAGACGAAAATCCCTGATATGCAGGCAATGTATCGTAGCCTTCGTGGCATATGAGTATATTGGCCATCATTACTGCTCAATGAGAATGATCGCACACTCAAAGCTACGAATCCAATCAGCTCTTTCAGCTGAAATACTCAAATGCTCACAGCACTGAAATAGCTAGAAGCTTTTGGAAAATTTTGGGGCACGAGGCTAAAAGTTTGTAAAGGGGGTAAGTGGGTGCTGATTATGAAGGAACAGGCTTCAGCCGGGTTTGTCAGCAAGCTTTAGATGTGGTTGCTCTAGATATTCTACAAATCATTCGAATATCTGTTCGAAATTCGACTCCAAATATTCGAAAATAATCGATTTTCATTCATTTAATAACTTTGATTCTTCCACTTTATTTGAGATTTATTCATTCGAAAATTTTGAAACCTCAAATTTA